GCGCCGGATCCCTGCCGCACTCCTTGTCCTGGGAAGATGGGTTCTCTTGCCCAGTGCCAGACCCCCTGCATTTCAGTTGGGAGCGCGGGACTCAGGCTCTAGAAGGGGGACAAACGCGGGTGGCCTTGGCTGAGCCGGGTCATGGCACTACCTCTTCTCTTGGTCACACCCCAGGGGTCCTTGCACCTGAAGTTCCTTCCGGACCCACCTCCTTCCATCTATCCTTTCCGTAAGGCAGTCCACTTCTAGTTCTTGGGAAAGGTTATGGTAGAGGCGGGGCCTGGGCACTGGGTCACGACCTTTGAGTTGCCCCAGAGGTCTCCCCTTTGCTGGGGGCCCTGTGGGTCCGGGGTCCAACTTTGGTTTTGTTGGGGCTGCCCGTGGAAGAAACATCAGGGTCTGCTAGTATCGGGACTGTGCAGGAACCTAAAACATGGAGGGAGGTGGGCCCAGGCTGCCCCTCAGCCCTGCAGGCATTCCAGCCAGGCCTTGAGCAGTCTGTGGCAATGATGTTACATTCATCTGTCCCCTGGCTCTTAAAAAGGAGTTGCCCCAAGGGACTCAAACCCCACGATCCCGCAACGGGGAGTGGAGCCTTAGGATGCGCAGGGAGACTCCCTAAACAACGTCTGGGCACGGGACAGGGGCATCCAAGGACATTAGTAAGCAGGACTTGTGGCTGGAGCCAGAAGTTCAAGGCCTCATGAGGTTGAGCAGGTTGGCTTTCCAAGTGAAATTCAGTTTCCCTGCCCCTTCTGCTGGCTTCAGGTGTGGGACAAGAGCTTGAAAGGCAATCCCTACAGCAACTGGGAGGGGCCGGTGATGGTCTGCCGGGTCAGGGGCCAGTTAGAGCTGTCTGGCTGTGGGTTTGGCTTTTCTCCTCCTTTTTGGTCATTTCTTCTGCAGGCTGGCACTGTGTGCCCAGTTTTACCAGACTGCTGAGAACTAGGAGCCCTCTTTGGCCCACTTAGTGCTAAGGGGCAGCTTGTATCAGTAGTAAAACGCCAAGTGTGAGCAGCTAAGCTTTTCCTACCACCCATCCAGTCCCTCTCTTGTGTGGTACTCTGTCACTCTCCAGGTGGGTGAACTGGTGCCAAGGATGGTCTGGAGGCTAAAGAAACGACCTGTGTCATCTCCGATGCTTTTGTGACAAGCACGGAGGGGGTCCCAAGTCAGTAGAGAAAAGCTTCCTTTCCCATGTCTATTTGCATGCCCCTAAATTTTAATTAAAGTGAATATAGAATAAGGGAAGATCTGAGACCCTGGATGCTAAATGTGTGGGGCTGAGAGAGGAGAGAGATGAAAACCATAGGGACAGTGTGGGTGGCAGCTGCCCGCCACGCTGACTGAGCCAGATCGAGCAGTCTGGCAGGGTGCCGAACACATCCGCCTTCCCGGATGGTGTGGTTCAGCCAGACAGAGACCTCTCATGCTGGCCCGCTAGTCTAGGAGACTGCATCATGGCAGCCCCTACTGAACAGGTGCCAGGCTTTTTGGAACTCGGGTGTCCTCCAGGACTGAGCTTCCATCCGGGTGGATTCACGGCCGCTGTGAATGGTATCCCAACAGTGTTCCCCTTACCCAGCTCCTCCTATTTAAGGAGGGAGGGTTGTGGGTAAGTCCGGCCCAGTAACTCTTTTGTTTGTTTGTTTGTTTGTTTGTTTGTTTTTCCAAGTCAGGGTTTCTCTGTGGCTTTGGAGGCTGTCCTGGAACTAGCTCTTGTAGACCAGGCTGGTCTCGAACTCACAGAGATCCATCTGCCTCTGCCTCCCCAGTGCTGGGATTAAAGGCATGCACCACCACCACTCGGCCGGACCCAGTAACTCTAAGCCTTCACTAACCCACCCCTTTGGAGATCAGGCAAGTGTATGCCAAGTGACAGGCAGGACCAAGGTTGTACCCAACACCACTGCTATTCAAGCCCAGGCCAGCTATGCCTTAAGCCCTTCTAAGTCTCTCCCAATTCCAGATGCTACTACTAGGAACAGAGTGGCTGGAGAGGGGCCCTTTAGGAGAGCCTTGAGCCTGGGGTAGAGGTTCATCTGGCTTCCAAGCTCCCAGAAGAAGTTCCCAGCCTCTTGACCGTGATTACTAGTCACCTTTGGGCAGCCACCAGTATAGGCAGAGTTCCTTGGGTCCCAGAGCATAAGTATGCTTCCTTCAGGCTCCAAGGAGACCCCAGTCTCAGTCCCTGGCCCTAACACAACTCTGTTGCAAGTTAGAGAATGGACATATTCAGGAGGATTTGGTAACTAGTGGGAAGAACCCACCTTGGGCTCTGGGAAAGAGGTAAACTGAGGCAGAGGAGTTGCAGAAATGAAAACAGGTGGATATGGCACAGGGCATGCTAGTGGCATGGGTTCAGAAATAACCGATGTGGTTCTGAAAGGTGGGGTCCTTTAGGGTCGGGGACCTCAGATTCTTCTGTGGCTTCTCTCATGTGTCTTGCTGAGAATGAGAAGCTGTCTCTGCCCCTGCTCCGGGTCCAGTGCTGTGATGTTCCCATCTCTCTATGTCTCATGCTCTAGGAAGAGCATTATGCATCTTTTTGTCTTCAGATCAAATATTCAGCAGTGTTTTTAAAATTCATCTTGTAGAAGTCAGAGGGGGAAAAGCTAGACATCCCATGTACACAGGGTTATCTTTATACTGGGGCTTTTCCCAGCCACGGGTTCCCTTTCCTCCAAGGATAAGGATTGACAGATCTGAACTGAAGCAAGAAACACTGAGGCAAGAAAGAGTACAGTGGGCGTAGCTCAGTGGCAGAGCACCTGCCTAGAATCCCCCAGTGAGGGACTGGGGGTGTGACTAAGTGGTAGAGCCCCTGCCTTAATCTTCCAGTGAGGGGCTGAGGGTGTGGCTCAGAGGTAGAGCACCTGCCTAGACTCCCCCAGTGGGGGCTGGGGGTGTGGCTCAGTGGCAGAGCACCTGCCTAGAAATTCCTTGAGGAGCTGGAGGCATGGTTCATTGTCTCAGAAAGATGTTATCACACAAACCTAGGTTGGATTCTGGACTCTACTTTCTGCCCACGAAAGCAGAGTGGGCATTATTCACCCTTCATGGCTCACTTCTGGTGGCTAAGGAATGTGTAGCAGCACCTTCCTTTCAGAGGCAGAGGGTAAGTGAGACAGTTGCCCCTCTAGGTTGGCAAACAGTCTCCGTAATGTCACCCGTTGTTTCTGATTGCTCACTGTGTCCTGGCATTCCAACTCCAATTTATTTTTCCACTCCATATTATATATATATATATATATATATATATGTCTCCTTTGCCCAGTGTTTTCTCCTGCATGAAGGCCACCTAGCTGCTCTTGGGACAAAGACCTCTGAACTGGGTTCCTGGGCTGTAGCCTCTGCTCTTCCCACCCAGTTTCCATAGCAACCGGCAAGGTCACATCACCTCACTGCTGAGTTTGAATCCTTCATGATGAAACATCAAAGGAGAAACAGGGCTGGAGAGAGAGATGTCTCAGCAGTTAGGAGCTCATACTGTTCTGGCAGAGGAACCAAGTTTGGTTCCCAACACCCAAGTCAGGTGGCTCACTGTTGCTCATGATTCCAGTTCTAAGGGGGATCTGAACCCTTTACGTTCCTCAGGAACCAGCACTCATGTACACAGGCACACATATAATTAAAAATAATAAGAATTTTCAAAATTATATTTTTAAAAGGATGGGAGTAATAAAGAGAGATGTGATAGAGCATTCCTGTAGTACCAGCTCTGGGAGGCTGAAGCATGAGGATCACAAGTTCTAGGCCAGCCTGGGCTACAGAGCAAAACCTTATCTCAAAACAAAGCAGATATAGCTCAGTGGTAGAGCACCTGCCTAGAATCCCCTAGTGAGGGGCTGGGAGTGTGGCTCAGTGGTAGAACATAGCATGTGTGAGTCTCTGAGCTTCACCCCAGGTTGACACAATATATTCAAACTAGTAAACAAATGGGTGAGGAATGGTGGACAGGATGACCCCCAGGTAGGCAGGCTTGATGACTTAACTGTGGGAGCATGGTGTCCCTTCCCCTCACCGCTTTTCCTTTCCTCACAGAGTAATCTGCCATGGGCTCCATTGGAAGCCAGCGCCTCAAGGAGCCCTGCATGGCAGCCACATCTGGCCAGAGTGTGGTAACAAGCTTCAGCTTTGACAACTTCCAGCTGGAAAGAACAGCAGAGGACGCTCAGGATCCAAGTGTCCGAGTCAGGGGTGTTCCCACTTTCACAGACTCTGGTGAGTAAGTGATACTGTCTGCCTCAGGGCCATGACTGGCCACATGGCCTTCCCATCAGTCTTTGGGGCTCAGGAGCCTCAGGTTGTCATGGAGACTGAGACTCAATCAGGATGAGTTAGGTGCCTAGGGTAACAATTACGCCCCATGCCCGGCTCTGCACTGTGTCTTGTGACCTCTGCTAGTGGCCATCCACAGCAGTGACAGGCCATGGCTGTGGAGTTTCTTTCTCATTTGTTCTTCAAAGCAAACTGTTCCTGGTTGCAGGGAATGAAGCAGGCTTAGAAGTGAAGTTCAAATAGCTGCTTCTCAATTCTACTGTGTGGTCTGGGACAAAGACCTAGGCATCCCCAAGCCTGTTTCCCCAACGCAAGCTGTCCCAACCTACTATGCAATTGGATCTGCAGAGAAGGTCTGGAGTAGGATGGGTTCAGGCTCAGCCCTGCCACCGTCCCTCACCTGCTTGGGGACTTTGTGAATGTTTGAGGGACAGTGCCTGGTGTGGTCCTCAACGCAGCTGCAGCAAAATTCATAGTGTCCCTTAGCTCCATCCTGGGAACTCGGGAGCTACCTATGAGGTAGCATCTGTGTGGATGGTTGTTTGTAGTAGCTCTCCTTCTGGCTCAGAAATGTTCTTGGCCCTTTTGTCCCTATGTGGTGGAATTCTGCTGGCTGAGCCCTGTGTTGGGTTATAAAGAATTCCTGTGCAGAGGGGATAGAATCACTTCAGTGCCAGCCCCTGAGGATGACAATAGACATGGTGGGGGAAGGGCCCTGACAGGCTATGAAGTGGATGGTGCTTGGGCATCAGCACCAACTTGAACTGTAAAGGCTATGGTTATAGTGCCCTTGGTGATGGAGGCTACACTGCAGTGTACCAGTTACCAACTCAGTTCCCACCAGTGTGATCTCCAAATCCACATGGTATCGAGAACTGACTGCAAAAGTTGTCTCCACATGCACTCTATGGCATGTACACACATGTCAAAAAAGTTAGCAGCCAGATAGAGGGCTACTATGCAGGCATGAGGACCTGAGTTCAATCCCCATAATGTATATGAAAATGGGGTATGTAGGCTGCAGAGATGGCTCAGCAGTTAAGAGCACTGGCAGTTAAGAGCATTTAAGAGGTCCCAGGTTCCGATCCCAGCACCCACATGGAGGTTCACAACCATCTGTAACTCTGTTTCCAGGGGATCCAACACCTTCTCCTGGCCTCTAGGCACCAGCATGCATATGGTGCACAAATATACTTTCATGAAAACACTTATACACATAAAATAAAATTAAGTAAAATTTCGAAACCAAAACAAACAAAAAACACAACAAAGCAGGTATAGTGGTGAGCAACTGTTGTCCCAGCCAGAGGCTGTCTGCTGCTCTCAGGACAGTCTAGCCTAATTGGGAAGCTCCAGCTTCAGCGGAAGACTGTCTCAAAAATAAGGTGGGGAGCAATAGAATAAAGCACATGATGTCACCCACCGACCCCTACATGTGCACCCCAACACACACATATACTCATAGCATCAGCCATGTGCTCATAGCATATGTTCATGATGGGCTCTCTCACTGGTCCATTGAGGTTCCCTTTGCCAGCAGCAGACACCTCCCTGCCCACAGCTCCGTACCTGGCAGGTGACTGAGCCTGTATTTCTGAAGGCTTGGGGCATTAGGGACCCTACTTGCATTGGGTTCTTGCATTGGGTTCTTGAAGGGACTCCCATTAGCTATAAAACAGAGAATGGAAGATACCACAAGAGACCAAGAGGCCCTCTCATATGCCAGGCATATTCTTTTTTGTTTGTTTATTGACTTGCTTGCTTGTCTTTGAGACAGGGTTTCTCTGTATAATAGTCCTAGCTGTCATGGAACTCCCTTTGTTGACCAGGCTGGCCTCGAACTCACAGAAATCCACCTGCTTCTGTTTCCCGAGTGCTGGGATTAAAGGCGTGCACCACCACACCCAGAACCAGGCACATTCTTTTTCTTTCCTATAGACAGCATTGACTTGCCATCCCTTTGATGGTTGGAATCAATCCCCATGCACAAAGGTCTTCTTTGGCTGTTTAGTCAGGGCCAGAATGGCAAGCCTTTATGCCTCAAACAACAGAATCATGGTGTCTTGTTGTCAAAGCTGGAACACCCTAGGTCATGGTAGAGTTTTCTTAGCATGTGTGAGGCCCTGGGTTCAACCCCTAGTATCAGATAAATCAAGTATGGTAGTGTATGCCTGTAATCCCTGCATTCAGGAGGTAGAGCCAGGAGGATCAGAAGCTGTTCAAGGTCATCCTTGGCTACATCCTTGGTTATACAGAGTTGGAGGCCAACCTGGAGTCTTATTGGGGCTTGGGGAAAGAAGACAGGAAAAGGAAAGAAAGAAACCCACCATATCAGCAGTGACAGAAATGAGCATTTTTGTCAGTAGTTGTTAAAGGGACAATAACAGATATCACTTCCATGTTCACCTTAGTTCCTGAATTCCAGCATCTCATCTGGGGAGACAGCTGCCCATCCTGGACACTGCATTAGGACATTAGACCTTGCCAGCCCCACAAAGCATTGCCATTGGCTGATCCCATCACAGGGTCCTCAGAAGGCCACCCCACTATTTGGTCAAGCTTGCCATTCCAGTGGCTGTGGCTAGGGTGGTTGTGATGGGTGGGCAGTGGCTGTGACAATAGACAGCAGGTACAGCCCTCATGGTGACCACAGTGACTGGGTTAGTTACTTGTCTCATTGCTGTGAGAGCTCGTTCAACTCACTTTCTCCTTTCCATTCAGTCCAGCCATGGCACTGGTACTGTGCACACTGCCCACATTCAGGGTGGGTTTTCCCACCTCATTTTACCCAATCTAGATACTCATTCAAGACATGGCCAGAGTTTTTTTTTTCCATCATGAGTCTAAACCCTGTCTATTTGACAATAGAGATTGGCTATCACTGGGTCAATTGGCTATCACTGGGAAATGATTCAATGAGTAAAACACTTGCCAAGCAAGTGTGAGGACCTGAGTTCAATCCCAGAACTCATGTAAAAAGCCTGGGCACAGTAGTGCACATCTTTAATCCAGCTGTCTTTACCTACACAGTGCTGTAATTAAAGACATGTGCCCCCACGGCTGGCTAAAATTTAAATTAAAAAAAAATTTTAAGGGACTAGAGAGATGGCTCAGAGGTTAAGAGTTCTTTCTGCTCTACCAGAGGACCCAAATTCAGTTCCCAGCACCCACATCAGGTGGCTCACAACTTCTTATAGCTTTAACTTTAGGAAATGGGCTGCCCTCTGCTTCTGTGGGCACCTGCACTCATGTGACACACACACACACACACACACACACCAATAAATAGATTGGTTGTCACTGTGGCTGTGATGTTTGTGCCCTTGAAGACAGTAATGCAGGAGGCTGGGGTCCTGGTGGTTGACATGGGCTGTGGTGGTGGTAAATGGCGGCCCTGGTGTAATGGCCATAGCCTGAGTATGCTCAGTGGTGTCTCTCCTGGTGTTTTCCCACTTAGCCATAGAGGAGCCTGTGCCAGACGACCGGTACCATGCCATCTACTTTGCCATGCTGCTGGCTGGTGTGGGTTTCCTACTGCCATACAACAGCTTTATCACTGATGTGGACTACCTTCATCACAAGTACCCAGGTGGGTTCCTCTGCCATCCACACTGCCCTCAAAGGCCACTCTGCCTGGACCACGGCCTTCTGGGAATCCCAAGGGACAGGACCCTGCTTGGAAATATTGCATGGAGAGAATGGCGAGAATGGCTGGTGTGGTGTTGGGGACAGCAGGGAGCCACCCTGGGTAGATGAGTAACTGTGGCATGGCCTTTATTTGGGGAGCGTAGTAGTTTCTGTTCTTGTGGCTATGGTAAAAGGCCTGGCAAAAGCCACTGAAGAGAGAAAGGGCTTATTCTGACTCATGGTTTGCTGGATATGGTCCACCCTGAAAGGGAAAGCAGGGAAGGCTTGGCAGAGAGAGTGAGAGGCTGGCTGGTTACATTGCAGTCACACTCAGAAGCAGAAAGTGAACTGGAAGTGGCTCCCCCTATAAAATTTTACTTCCTCCAGTGAGGCTCCACCTCCTAAAGGTTCCACAGCCTTCTCAAGCAGCTGGGGACCAAGTGTTCCAGCATGTGGACCCATGGGGACGTTTTCACATTTAAACCTCAACAGGGAGTAAAGGTGGGTTATGGACCTCTGTAAAGGTGGAGGCTGAGTTAGCCAGGGACCAACATGGCAGGCCAAGGGACAACTGTCAAGTATATGAATTTTAGCGCCACTGGCCATTGCTGAGTGACCTCAGGGTAGCCAGTTATTCCTTCTGAGCAATCAGCCCCTTGGGGAGAGTGAAGAGCCCTTGCAGGGATGAGTGCAGAGGTTGGAAGTCCCTCAGAGTCACTTTCGTTCTTGTATCCAGGGACCTCCATTGTGTTTGACATGAGCCTCACCTATATCTTGGTGGCACTGGCGGCTGTGCTTCTAAACAACGTTGTGGTGGAGAGGTTGAACCTGCACACTAGGATCACCACAGGTATTCAAAGTCACCCTGTGTTGTCCCCTCCCATAGGCTCCAAGCTCTTCCTGGGAGCTGCTAGCCCATGGCACCTGCCCATGCAGCCTCCTAGCTTTGTCTGTGAAACACATGCTTTTTTCTAGGACCACTGTGGGCTTTGTGGTTAGAAGTCACGGTCAGGCCACTTGCCAGTACAATAGCAAGCGCCTTCACTTTTGTGACCCCCACATTACATCCCTAGGTCCATACATAAGCACACCCCCCCCCTTCTCCATCTCTCTGCACAGTGGTTTTCAGCTTCAGGGCTCATCTCCCATGACTCCTCCTCCAGGAAGCCCCCAGAATTTCCCTGTAGAATCTCCTGGAGCCGCCTTCTTCTTCTTCTTCTTCTTCTTCTTCTTCTTCTTCTTCTTCTTCTTCTTCTTCTTCTTCTTCTTCTTCTTCTCCTGCTACTTCTGCTTCTGCTTCTTTTGTTTTTTTGTTTTTGTTTGTTTGGGTTTTTTTTTTGAAGATTTATGATGTATACAGTGTTCTGCCTGAATGTATGTCTGCACACCAGAAGAGGTTGCTGGGAATTGAACTCAGGACCTCTGAAAGAGCAGTCAGCACTCTTAACCACTGAGCCATCTCTCCAGCCCTTGTTTATGTTTTTTGAGACAGGGTTTTTCTGTGTAGCCCTGGCTGCCCTGGAACTTGCTCTGTAGACCATGCTGGCCTTAAACTCACAGAGATCCGCCTGCCTCTACCGCCCAAGTACTACAATTAAAGGCATGCATCACCACTGCCCGGCTCTCCTGGAGTCTTGTACCTGCCTAATATTCTAGGGGACAGGTAGCCACAGTGTTTGAGGCCTACCTCTCTAGAAAATGGGGTGACGGAGGGGCTCTCACCATGCCCTTCATGACTTCTCTGCCCCCTGCAGGCTACCTCCTTGCCTTGGGTCCCTTGCTCTTCATCAGCATATGTGATGTGTGGCTTCAGCTCTTCTCGCACGATCAGGCTTATGCCATCAACCTGGCTGCTGTGGGCACTGTGGCCTTTGGATGCACAGGTAGGGAGTGGGGTCAGGATGCACTAGGAGGGCTGAGCCCAAGTGCTCTGTGGCCCTACAAGATGAGTCAGTTCAGCTGCTGGCCACATGTCTATAGACACACCAGAGCACATGTACACAGCACACACATGCACACAAACCCTCATATGCACCAAGGTGACTCTTATGTGGCACAGGTTTGGATGGCAGCCCCCTGGTTCTCATGAACTCGGGATCATCCTGCTGCCACCTCTTTAATGCTAGACTTACAAGCATGCACCTCCACACCCAAATTATGTAGTGCTGGGCATGGAGCCAGGGCATCATGGATGCTAGGCAAACTCTGTACTAACTAAACTGTATCACCAGCTCACTCCTTTTGTTTTAAAATTGAGACAGGGTCTTAAGCAATTCAGGCTGACTTTGAACTTCTAATCTTGCTACCTCCAGCTTCCAAGTGTTGACATTACATGTGTACATCCACACACTCAGCTCTTCCTTGCTTTTGCTGCATGGTCCAGCCCCCTCAGAAATGGGGTGGGAGCGGTGTTCCATACAGCCACTCAGGGATTAAGGTTGACAGCCCCATTTCAACCAATAGGTAGCCTCTACTGTCACTGCTGTTGGGGAAAAAAAAAAAGGGGGGCTGACAGTAAGTTTGCCCTGTCTCATCCAGCAAGGGACATGTGTCATCTCCACTCCCATCAGACAGGACTTGTCAGTGACCTTGGGTCCCAGGGCCAGGAAAGTGGCCACTGTGTGTGTGCTACGTTGAGGGTGACACTCTTTTTTTCCTGTGTTGCTGTACGGTTGTGTTAAACCTCACCCTGCTCTGGTGTTAGCCTCTGAGCACTTGCCCTCCTGTGCTAACATAGCATAGGAGGTCCACACTGCCTCTGTGTCAGCCAGCGACAAATGGTATCTGATCACTTCCTCCCTCTCTCTCTTAAGTGCAGCAATCTAGCTTCTATGGCTACACGGGATTACTGCCCAAGAGGTACACGCAGGGGGTGATGACTGGAGAGAGTGAGTATTGAGACCCTCCCAAGGGGCACCAGTCTGAGAATCCTATTGGGCATACCCTGGTTAGGGAGGTGAACCAGAAAGCTCTACACATGCTGAATTGGGGATAGTGACTATCGCTGGTGAGGGATGGACCACTGGGTGGGAGGGATACGTGTGCACACCTGTGTGTGCCAGGTTTCTAGAGTGTGGAATTCCTTTGGAGTATGACAGTCACAGTTCCAGTGAGCATGCAGTTGGGTGTATTTGTGTGCCTGTGGTGTGACTTTTCTCAGAGAGATGTAATCAAATGTCTGTTCATCCGAGATAGGGCACCATTGGTACACCAAAAAAGAAAGATTCCACCCAGTCTAGCTTTGCTGCACCTCTGAGGTTATTAGGGCTGACTTGCAGGAGCATGGATGACTCAGAGACAGCTGCAGCCCCGGTGTTAGCTGGGGAAAGCTGTGTCTCTGGGCTCCTGGCACAGCTTGCAGGCAGTTCTGCTGGTGGGAGAATCTCCCTTTTCCAGCAGTTGTTACTGCTTGGATAACCTTGAGGAGGGGCCTTGAGAATCTTGTGTCCTGAGTCTTTTGAACCTTCCTTCTTTTTTTTTTTTTTTTTTAGGAGGGAGTGTTTTGATTTTAGAAATTTGTGTGTGCACGCAGGACCAAGTCTTCCTCAGATCCCGCCCCCCATCCTCCACCACCAGCCACCCCTTGCTTATCACTCTGTTACTTAACCCTTTTGTCTGCTTAGCCACATCCCAGATGCCCCTCTCTGACACACAGCACCCTTGCAGAAGCCTGACATTCACCCAGTGCCCAGACCTCAAAGGGCCTCTGGCAGATTCGGAACAGGTCTGTCCCACCCTCTAGTCCATAGCTAGTCAATTCAGCAAGAAGCTGGGTCCAGCTGTCATAACCCTCAGGCTGCTCTCCACATCGCCTCTTTGGAGGCCTTCTGTAGGCTTCCTCTGCCATGTATTGCCTGGAGCATCAAACCTCACCACCTACAGCTGACTTCTGGAGTGTGGCCAGCACACAGACAGCTTTGCAAGCCAGAAGACATTTTTTGTTGTTCTTTTAAGAGAGTACCTCATGTAGTCCAGGCTAGCTTCCAACTATATAGCTGAGGATGACCTTGAACTTCTTTCTGATCCTCCTGTTTCCAACCCCCAAGTGTTAGGATTCCAGGCATGTGCCACCATACTCTTATTTACCCAGGGTTGGACGTGGAACCCAGGATGTCACATATGTTTAACAAGCACTATATGAACTAAGCCACATTCCTAGCCCAAACTAGTAGATTGTGTGTTAGAATTGGTGAGGCTAGGCCATCAGGATGGTGCTGATGTACTGATTTGGGGCTATAATGCAGTAGCCAAGAGCCCCTCAAAACAGACTTGCTCAGAGCCCTGCCCATCTTCATCAGCTCGTGGCAGACATGACTAGTCCTGCCCTACACTGCTCTGCGGCTATGGGTTGTACTTAGGCAAAACTCCACATACTCTCTGCAGCAGTCCTGCCTGCCTTAACCCTGACACCCTCTGCCAGCTGCCCCTTGCTCTATGGTGGTGGTGGTGAGTGGAACCTCTCAATATTTCACACACACTCGTGACTCTTACTCACTTAGAGTGCTCACTCTCAGTCTGTGTGCCTGGCACTCCTGTACTGTAGACCCCCTGGCTTAGCTGTCCCCCCTCAGGGAAGGCTGCTCTGATCCTTCTCCTCTGGACAACATCCTCTGCCACAGAAACCACTGTTGTGTGTTTCCGTGTCTTGACACGGTCTCTCTCTCCATCAAGCCTAGGAAGGCGGGGCCTTGTGTCCTCCCTGTGGAGGACCTCAGGGCAGGACACCCAGCAAATTCTCAGTGACACTGGTGTGTGAGATCATAGAGTCAGGAGGGGGTTGGTGGGAGCAGCAGCAGTCCTGGGGGGGACAGGGGGCTGAGCAGGCTGGATGGATAGACAGGCAGTGAGTCTAGAAGTGGGGCTGGTGAGATCAGACTCACTGGGCTGAGGGCGGGGAGACAAGGATGGGGCAAGGGGCTGTGAGTGGTTGGGGGAGAGCTTGGAGAGAAGTTGGAGCCTTGGACAGGATGGAACTGCTGGAGCTCAGCAAAGTAGAGTGGGGCTGGGAGAAGCTGGGGCTTGGTCGGGATGAGGGGGCCTTGTGGGTTGGTGGACTGGGTACAGTGGATTGGGACTGGATAGAGCACTGGGCAAATGGAGTGGGTAGCGCTCAATGAAGAAAGACTAGTGGTGGATGGGATGGGGTAGGGGTGGGACGAGAGCCTGGGTGGGGTGACACGGGTGAGAGAGGCATTGGGACCGCTCAGTTGTCACTGCCTCCCCTCCAGGCACAGCAGGGGTGATGATCTCTCTGAGCAGGATCCTCACTAAACTGCTGCTACCAGACGAGCGGGCCAGCACCATCATCTTCTTCCTGGTCTCCGCGGGCCTGGAGCTGCTGTGCTTCCTGCTACACCTGCTGGTTCGGCGCAGCCGGTTTGTGCTCTACTACACCACACGGCCTCGTGACAGCCGCCCCATCCGGGCTGGCTATCGAGTGCACCATGACGTGGCATCAGGAGACATACACTTCGTAAGTGCGGTGGCCTGGCCTGGCCTCCTCCTCCCACACAGGTGCCTGAAGAGTTCCCTGTTGGTTCTGCTCTTGGTCCCACGATCTCGGGCTGCAGGCTGGCTTCTGTACTCTGAGACATTCCATTCTGTGGCACCACAGGTTGACTGTGACCCTCCACCAACTGTGGCATCCCACATCTATGGCCTGAGGCTCTCTTCAGCTTCTGTGGCCCAGGTGCTAGGATACCCTGTTAGGACAGCAGGAGGTGACGGTTTTCCAGCTATAGCCAGGGCGAAGAGCCCAGGGTATGTGGTAGATCCCCAGAACCTAACGGGGGAGAACACCAGGGTCATGAAAGTGGGGTCCAAGGAAGTCGGGTAGATAGGAGGCAAGGGAATCCTGTGATGAACTCCCTTCCATCCCAGCTTAGAGGACCCTAGCACAGACCACTGCTCCAAGGGTGGCCTTAGTACCGACTCCTTGAGTAGCTATAGCCTGGGTAAGCCAATTCACAGTTCTGGAAAGCTAGAGTGCCCTCTGGTGGTTATGTGCTGCATACCACCTCGGCTCCCACCCACCTTAGGGCTTAGAGGTGGCTGCTGCTGGTGACTACTGGCTGGGTGGAGGGAAACAGGGCAGGTAAACATTGTCCCTTGATAAGGAAGTGCACACAGCAGGTGCTAACTGAATGTCTGGCTGACTGCAGCTCCACCATTAGCCATGGGTACCTGGCCCATGACTCCCATCATGCCTTTCTACCCAGGAGCACCAAACTCCATCCCTGTCCAGCAGCAGGTCCCCAAAGGACAGCCCAGCCCATGAGGTGATCCACAGCAACAGTGGCGCCTACATGCGTTTTGATGTGCCTCGGCCACGGGTCAAACGGAGCTGGCCCACCTTCAGAGGTAAGTGTGAGGCGCTGTGGGGCCCAATGGCATGTGTGGCTGTCGCCTAGGCTGCAGACAGCGGGGACCCCATGAGTACCACCCTCTAACAAGCCTCAATTCCCCCAGCCCTGCTGTTGCACCGATACGTTGTGGCGCGGGTCATATGGGCTGACATGCTGTCCATTGCGGTAACCTATTTCATTACACTGTGCCTGTTTCCCGGCCTGGAGTCCGAGATCCGCCACTGTGTGCTGGGCGAGTGGCTGCCCATTCTGGTCATGGCCGTGTTCAACCTGTCAGACTTCGTGGGAAAGGTGAGACACAGGGTGGCTTTGGGGAACCCCAGGAAGGCTCTGGTCTTTCTGGAACAACCCCAGGCTGAGGGTACATGTGAGTTCCAGGTGGGGAGGGTGGAAGCTATGGAGTATTGCCATCTCTAACCCTGTCCTGTTGAGTGTAGCCCCTGCCTGGTCTCTATGGCATCAACTGCATCTCAGGCTAGGGTCAGCCCCAATTCTCCTACCTCATGGACCCTAGTGGATCCCTCTGAGGATGACACAGGCATGAGCTGCCAGCTGGGTAATACATCTGTCACACAAGTAGATGGGATTGGTGGCCAGGACTGGAGTGGGACCCTAGCCACCCTGCAGCTCAGATAAGCCATGTTTCTTTTTGCAATTACTGTGTTGTATGGAGTATGAAAGATGGAAGCCAGGGCCTTGCCCTTCTCAGGCAAGCATTCTACCACTGAGCCACGCCCTCAAACCCCTCAGAAGTACTCTAGAACCCCCCAGTAAGGTTCAGGGGTAAGGCTCAGTGGTAGAGCACCTGCCTAGATCCCCCAGTGAGGGCCTGGGTTGTGGCTCAGTGATAGAGCACCTACCTAGAATTCCCCAGTGAGGGGCTGGGGTATGGCTCAGTGGTAGAGCACCTGCCTAGAATCCCCCAGTGAGGGGCTGGAGACATGGCTCAGTGGTAGAGTGTTTGCCTAGCATATTCTCATCCTCCTTGACCAGTACTGAAGAGGAAAAAATGTATATGAGATTTGGTGGGCCTTGTAAAGTGAACTGGATGGAGCAACAAGTGATTGGGACAGGGTGTAGCTTGAGGGCCTGGTGGGGAGACAGGGGAGACAGGCTCCTGGCTAGGTGGGTGACCCACACTCTCCGCTATCTGCAGATCCTGGCGGCCCTACCGGTGGACTGGCGGGGCACTCATCTACTTGCCTGTTCTTGCCTGCGTGTGGTTTTCATCCCCCTCTTCATCCTGTGTGTCTACCCCAGTGGCATGCCTGCCCTACGCCACCCTGCCTGGCCCTGTGTCTTCTCACTGCTTATGGGCATCAGCAATGGCTACTTTGGCAGTGTGCCCATGATCCTGGCAGCGGGTAAAGTGAGCCCCAAGCAGCGGGAGCTGGCAGGTAAGACTTGTTGGCCTCTGGATAGCCTAATGCCCTTCTAGCAAGGAAACTGAGATCTGGAGAAGCCAAGGGCAGCCAGTGAGTGAGAAAATGTATTTTGTCCTAAACATTAAGTGACAAGGAAGTTGTAGGTATGAGGACATCTGTAATTAATTTCTTTATTTCATTCATTCATTCATTCATTCATTCACTCACTCATTCAGCTGCTATGTGGGGAGTCTGTATGTCTCGTACTCTCCTAGGCAGTGGGTTCATAATGCTGCCCCCATGTGCAGGGTTATGGTCCTGAGATGGAGACAGCCAATAAACAGATAACAAATAGATGTGGTGTGTTTCACAGTGGTAAGTCCTAGGGCTTATGTTAGTTTGAGAAGTAGGAGCAGGCATAGGGATTGGGGCCTATGATGTAAAGAGAACAATTTTGCAAGCTGTCCTCTTACTTACTGAGGAGGTGACTTTTGAGCAAAACCCTGGAGGGAGACAGGTACAGGAAGCTTCCAGGAATGGCATCCAAGCAGAGGGAACTGTATGTGCAAAGGCCCTGAGGCACAGCTCAGTAGTACAGCACCTGCCTGGGATCTCCCAGTGAGGCCAGGTGGAGGCCAGGTGGATGGGGTGGGAACAGACAGGGATGAGAAGGTTATTCCAAAGCTTCTGCGGTGTTCCAGGCCTGAGGATGGGCTTGTGTGGTGGCGGCGGAGGGGCTGGTGTTAGAACCCATTTCAGTGGTTCACAGGGTTAGCTGATAGATTGAGAGATGAGGCCTAAGAGAGTTAAAGGGGAGCTCCCAGTTTGGGGGCCTACTGTTGAAAGCGAGGCTGGTATTGCTATGGATGGATAGGGAGGTGAAGGGAAGGGTATCCAGGTCAGATGTGGGGACATACTGAATTGTTCCCAAGGAGGAGGCAGGAGGCAAGAGATAAAAATGGAAAGGAGAAGCCAGATGATGCAGGCTTGTCATCTAGCTACTTAGGAGGCTAAGCCTGGAGGATTCCTGATTTGAGGTAAGTGAGAACCTATTTCAAAATAAAAAAATAAAAAGAGGCCAGGAAATGTGGCTCAACTGTAGAGCTTCTGCCTAGAATCCCCCGGTGAGGAGCTTAGTGGTAGAGCACCTGCCTAGAATCCCCCAGTAAGGGGTTGGGATGTGGCTCGGTGGTAGATAATTGGCTTAGCTTGTGAAAGGCTACACATTCTATCTCTAAGACTAGAAAGAGAGAAAGGAAGGAGTGAAGAGAAAAAGAGGGAGGGAGGGAGAGGAGGGAAGAGAGGAAAAAAATAAGGAAGGAAAGAGAGAGAAGGGCAGAGAACTAGGCAAGGCCTGAGACTCCAGTGAGATCACTCCTAAAAGACCCAAAAATTCAACAATGGGTTCTAGGGGAGGAATCTTTTAACACAGGCTGTCACAGGGTCACAAGCTCTTGGACACTGACAATTGTCACCGTAGTACACACCCAAGGAGCCATGGCCACAGAGATTACCTAGCACATTGTGGCCTCAGCTCCCATGGCTGTTCTTCGCCCCCTGTTCTGGTCACTCTTGCCCACAGGAAACACCATGACTGTGTCCTATATGTCGGGGCTGACCCTGGGCTCCGCTGTGGCCTACTGCACCTACAGCCTCACCCGTGATGCCCACAGCAGCTGCTTCCAAACAGCCACCGCCAACGACTCCATCCCTGTCGGCCCCTGAGCCAGGCCCATCTGATCCTACCCACCGCCCAGGGAGGGCTGCTCAGGCCAGTCACCCCAAGGCCTGAGGACCCTCCCCACCCCTGCCTCAGTGCCTGCGGGGTCCTGGCCGCCACTAATGCCACCTCGCCACTTCATTCCAGTTGCCCACTGCAGCTGGGACATGTCTTCATCACCCGGGGCGCTGCCTACCCCCATGTCCTGTGTTTGGTCAGACACTTGCCCTTCACCCTCTATGTCCAGAAGCCCAACATTTGTCACGTCAGCATGATGGGGTCATTCAGACTCAAAGCCACCCAGAAGGGCTGACCACCAGTCTGAGTGACTCCCTTCCCTATGACCCCTCTATGGGGTCTGCTACAAAGGTCCCATGGTCTTTAATGTGGTTTTCACTTATTGGGTAAGTGACGTATCCTCATGAATATTAGAAATCGTGAAGGAAAGGGACAGTCCCCAGTGCCATTTTGTCCCTTCTTAGACGACAACACACACACACACACACACACACACACACACACACACACACACACACCATTACGATTGGAAAACTCATTGCTGGGGCTACACAGGTCTCCCATAGTCGTAGCTACAGAGCTGATCTGGGTACACCCACCTGAGGTGGAGGACTTCCTCCATGTACCCCTCTAGAGCACAGGCTAAGGGTCACACTTAACAAAGAAGTCCCTCCCCAGCTCCACTCAAACTATCCATAATGCAGGGACAGCCAAGAACCACTCTTGCCCTAGGCCACCCTGCCCCTGTCCATTGAGAATCAAGCAATGACATGATGCACTTGAAACCCTGGCAAGTGGCAGCAAGCTGAGGAGTGGGGTCACTGGGTGGTGGGGTTGACAGTTGGGCCTCTCGTTTGATGAGCCAGGACTACTTGCCTCTCCACACATTCTTGCCCCAGCTGTGACCACCCTGTACCAATCCCTGCTGTGTCCCGTCTACCTGTGTGTCCTCGGAGTACCGCACTGGCCATTAAAGATGGCAGAGACTGCCCACTGCTGTCCCTTGTGAGGTGTTTGTGGGTGGAGTGGTGGAAACTGAACCACTGGGGTAGGGTGGGGGGATTAAAACAGGGTCCCCGTGGATTAAGTCTTCTCTACAATGCTGAGGAGACATTTGTAGTCGCACCTATGCAGCAACCCCACCTACCCTGAGCTGTGTGTTTTTAGAGTTGATGGTTGGTCAGGAGCCTGCTCTTGTGCCTGGTGCTGAGCATCTTTGTGACTTGCACTGGCCTTGACCATTGGCCCGTGAGGATGGGAGATGGATGCAGCTTGCGCACTGGGAAGGAGACCTCAGAGGGAAGTGGCTTGGTCCAGGCTCTATCCACCTGGGGCTGAGAGGCAGGTTACTCGTGTGTGTGTGTGTGTGTGTGTGTGTGTGTGTGTATGTGTGTGTGTGTCACACACACACGGTGTACATGTATGTGTACAGAGGCCAGAGGAAAGACATTCAATGTCCACTGTCATGTCCCTTCTGCCTTACTTATCTACAATCTCTCAATCACACCTGCTCAACGTTTTAAGCTAGACTGGCTGGCCAGTAGGCCCCTGGAATCCACCTGCTACCACCCACTGGCCATACTCATTTTTTTGAAGTGATTTCTGGGGATTTGAACTCATTCCTCATGCTTGTATAGCAAACACTAGTACTCATGAGCTACCTCCCCAGGCCCAGAAACATCCTTTCATTGTTCTGTTTCTGGATCCCCAAGGAATGGGATTGGAAAATGGGGCCATGGAGGAGAGCCACATAAATCCTATAGTCTCAGGCACCCACATAGTGTGCAACTTTTGTGGGTCCTCCTTGGGCAGCCTGATGAATCAAGGCCAGGGTGGTGGTGATGCCATAGGGGGCCGCCAGATGGCAATAGAGTGTGACTTGTCCCACCCACCAAGTTATTCAGTTTCCTGGCAACCTCAAGCTAGGTGTTAACACTTGTCACCCAACCCTGTTCTCTTCCCCAGATTGAGGGCTGCAGCTATCTACACAGATTCACACTTGTGGTTGGCCAGCATCCAGTCCTTCAATCCAGGTTTCCAAGGCCCCAGAACTGTTAACACAACCAGACACAGGTGTGTGACCCTGAACCTATCCAGATATGGGCTTGATGCCAAGGCCACAGGCCACCCTGCTTGCTTGTTTGGCTAGAGTGGCTAGCCATGGAGGTTATCCTCATTCCCCAGCCCTGGGATCCTGAAGGCACCACCATGCCTGTTGTTTTTCTGGGATGGAAACCAGGCAGGAAATTTACTGACAACCTCTCCATCCTGTAGATCTTAAACTTTTGGGGGATTTGTGTGTTTTGCCTGCATGTATGCCTGTGCACCAAGGGTTGTCTGGTCAGATTAGGGTGTCAAATCTCTTGGAACTGAGTTATATACGGTTGTGAGCTGCCATGTGGGTGCTACATACTGAGCCTGGATCTTCTTTAAGGGCAACACATGCTCCTAACAATTGAGTCATCTCTCCAGCCCCTAGCTCTTGAATTTTAAACAAAACACCACTCTGGCTTCAAGAACTTTCTGAAATGTTTGATCAAGCTCATCTCTGTGCCTAGTACAGCAACTCCAGGCTGCACCTGGATTTTGCCTCCCACCCCCCATGTGGGGCTTCTGTCACTAAAAGACAATGTTGTGTGGCTCTAGTCTCTTCTCTGGGTGTTCTAAAACAAGGACACTGGATCCTCCACACCAATTCCAAGATCCTAGGCTCCCAAATAAAGCCACTCCAAGCCATGGTATTTTTCCAATTAAATTTTTTCTTTTCTTTCTTTTTTTTTATGAAAAAAGATCACACAGAATTTGCCAACAAACAAAATTCCAAAAGAAACGTTTAAAAAAAGAAATCAGGAACAGTAATTACCCCCCCAAAACAAAACAAAACAGAACCGAAGTCTGGCTTTTCCTTCCTTCAAGATTGTCTGCTCAAAGCCTCCGGGGACCCCATTGGGGTCTGGCAGGCACAGGGGGGCTGGTTAAGTGCTTCGGGCCGAGCTGGGGGCTGGGCTCGGGGCCCCTCCATCTATCTCCATCTCTCGTCCATTTGGGGGCACATACAGTACACATGGGCAGGGTGAGGGTGCAGGGGAGTTGGGGGAGGCATGAAGCCGGTGCTAGACACTCACAATCTAACAGGAAATAAAAAATAATATTCTGCACGTCAGAATGTGTTTTTTTTTATAATTTCATAGCTATTTTTCACAGTTTTAAAAAGTTTATATATATATTTATATATATTTATCTTTATATATATAATTAAAAAGTTGACTCCATTTAAAGGTGTATGATACAGGGGCAGGCTACAATAAACTGTACAGGTAACCTTTCGGATCCTCCTGGTGGAGGGGGCCGGGCGGGCCGTGCCGGGCGTGGGCGCGGGTTTCAGCACCATTGGGGTTTTCTGTAGTGTAAGGGTCTGGGCTAGGGGGCCCACCAGGTATGGTGATGCTCCTGGGCTGCCCTCCCCTGCCTTTTTCCCCAAGTCCAGGCTGTCCTGAGAGGGTGGAGGCTGGGCATGCAGGCGCCCAGATGCCCAGTGTGATTTGATTGGTGAAGCTGGCTGGCGTTGGGGCCCCCGGCCCACGGTGGAAGGCCTTTGATGGGCTCCATGCTGGGTATGGTTGACCTCTATACCAAGCATCAGTTTGGGTCCTTGGAACTCTCCCTCACCCCATCCACAGAATCAGAAAGTCTACACAGGCCCAGAGCTTGGAGGGCAGCCTCATCAAGCGCATTCAAAGTGCTGGGAGGGAAGGCCCCGCTGAGGTGACCCTGACGGGACAGCAGAGTCAGACCCTGATAGCTGGAGGGGGGTGTCTCAGCATGAGGGCACCAGGGGATGACCAGAAAGGGTCTAGAGATGTGTGCACATGTGTGCACACACGTGCATGCATACGGGCACACACATGTACACACTCGCACTTGCCCGGGGCGTCCACCTGGCCACATGCACACGCCCACGAGCACACTGGCATGCACACAACACACATGGTCCCGCGCCATGGCAGTGGTGGGGAGGGGTCTCTGTGGGCCCCGCTGGATAGGCGGTGCTCAGCAGAGCACAGGCACACCGTCTGTGGAGAAGATCATGCCTGTGGTAGGCTCATAGGTGCCCGCGAGGTAGTACAGGCCCTCGCTGTCCTGGTATTTCTTGGTCTTTAGCATCTGCTCATACTGCTCCAGGCCCACCACCAGGCACTTGTGGGACACTGTCTGAACGTCGTTTTCATCCACATGGGAGGACTGGTACAGAGCGCGCTGTGGGGACACAGTGTAGGTGTTAGGAACTAGAGGGAACCCTCCTGGATTAGCAGGACCCCAGGATGCTTTAAGGGTATAGACCTGGAGACCAAGATAGAGAGATGGAGATAGAGATGGAAAAACATGGAAACAAAGAGACAGAAACCACAAAATAGAGACTGAGACAATGACAGAGACCAAAAGAGATGGAGAGAGAAACAGAGGTGACAAGAAGAGACAGCGCCCAAAGTTAAGAATGAACATGGAGGCTTGTACTGACTCCTTAGGTTAAGGTCCTCATCTTACAAGCAGCAAATTATGAGGACCCAAGTTCAGATCCCCAGAGCCCGTGTTAAGTAGCAGGTGGGCGTGGTAGCCCACCTGCAATTTTAGCCTCAAAAGACAGAGACAGGAGACCTCTGGAGCAAGCTGGCTCGTAAGATCTGGTTTTGATGACCAAGAAAGACTCCCAATGCCAACAGTGAGCCTCCACCCACAGCCACAAGCACACTCCCCACCACAGGTCTGAACATTCGTATATGCAAACACACAGAAAAGAAATAAAAATGAGAGAAACATCAGAAGAAAAGACGGACAGATGTGCCTATGTTACAAAGAGGCACTAGGCCAAAGGCAGATGGTGGCCCTAGTAGCTCAGAGCCACAGACACAAGAGGGAGGGGCTTGGAGGGGCAGAGCAGAAAGCTTGCAGCCTGCCCCATCTGGACAGAACCTGTACCCCACACCAGCCCACTGCTGCCTTCTCACCTCCATGAAGTCCTTCCTCTGGCTGGAGGCCCGCAGGGCTGCAGGGAGACTGCGCCCTGACTTCTGGTCCCAGTGCTGTGGGGGAAAGATGAGAGGGTGTGGGTAGGTCTGAGTTTTGTTTTACACCATCTGAGATCTCAGGCTGACTACACAAGCTCCCTTGGACTCAACCTCCCCACTTGTAGGGCCACTGTTCCCAGCACCCAGATGCCCAGCCTAAACTGTGCGATGGCTA